TTCAGTTTTAACTTTGTGTTTTTGATTGTGGGTTTTGATTTAAATAGAGTAAGGAGTTGTGTGTTAACACGGAAAAATGAGTGTTGAAAAGAAAAAATAATAATAAGAAAAAAAGAAGAAAGAAAAGAGAGAGAGAGAGAGAGAGAGAGAGAGAGAGAGGAGAAAACAAGCAATAAAGGCAAAATAGCATAGAGATCGAGGGAAATATCCATTTTGTTTTGTTTCGTTGCAAATATCCATTTTGTTTTGTTTCGTTGCAAATATCCATTTTGTTTTGTTTCGTTGCAAATATCCATTTTGTTTTGTTTCGTTGCAAATATCCATTTTGTTTTGTTTCGTTGCAAATATCCATTTTGTTTTGTTTCGTTGCAAATATCCATTTTGTTTTGTTTCGTTGCAAATATCCATTTTGTTTTGTTTCGTTGCATGAGCGCATAATTTGATTTAAGTTGATTTTATTTCATTAGTTTAATTTTGTAATGTATCTTGTTTAAATTGTTATGGTCATTGATGACTTGTCACGTTCAGTTCGTAATTCACTTCATCATTTCTCACATACATGTTATTGTATGTACGGTTCATTCAGAAGAGTTCCAGGTAAAATCATTTGTTCCCTTCGAATCGCTTCCTTTCATTTTTTCACCAAATTTTAAATTTGATGCCAGGTTTGGTTCACCGTTGGAGATGGTCTGACTTACTAACTGCAGCATCCGTTGGCCCGTGGATCTATGCTCTGTATACCGTAGTTAATTTTTTTAAAAAATTATATATATATATGTATATATATATATATTTATAAACCATAGGAAATCAGTGAGTGAATTATACAATTAGCCTTATAAATTTGACATAAATATATTAATTTCATTTTTTGTAATACTTATGATCAAAATTAATACTTATGATTTATACACAAATAAATAAATAAGTTAAAAAATATTTTAGGCTAAGTTTGGCATCTACTAAATAATATAAAAAGTCAAAAAATTACTATTCTATTTAAGCCCATTACAATGTTAATAACATCAGATACAATGTTAATAACATCAGAGTCATGTTACAAACATTGGATTTCAAACATCTAATGTTCATCAAATTTCAATAATGTTTGAAAATATAGGATGAAAAACATCTAATGTTCATCAGATTTCAATAAATTTTGAAATTATAGAATGAAACATCAGATCATTTACATCATTCACATCATGTTGATGTAAAAATGGGACTAAATGGAGCATAAGAAAATTTTTAGGACTAAATGGTTCAACGTTTCAAAAACTAGGACTTATGGGTAAATTTTCCTTAAAAAATTCTAACTACTCTCGTACACAACATTAAAATGAATTATTAATTGAAATATATTTCTGACATCATTTAAAACTATTAATCGGCTTGATGATTTATTAATGAAATGAGTTATTTGTTATGAGATTAGAAATTTAAAGGGACGGGACCCACATCAATAATCCAAATCATGCATCTTGTAAATCTCACAGTAAATGTTGTCTATGTAAAAAATCAACTTCATCAAATATTGATGAATAAATGAACAATTTGCATTTCATTTTACAAAATAGAGAATTTAAATTTAAACTCATAGTTATCGCCATTTTACGAAACAAAATATAATTTGTTCATGTATCTGGTGATGTTTGATAAAACTAATTTTTTGTACAACCCATTTTTACTAAGTAGTTTATGAAAGGGTATGACAGATAATAGTATAGCGAGGCGCCATTCTCAAACTATCATATCTATATTTATATTATGGGGAAATGCTTTGGTGTGTAATGCATACCATATGCAACTCTATCACAAAATTACATAAGTTTTTACTAATTTGCATTAGTGATCTCGCAAAAACGCGTAAGTTGGATACAAATTCACATAAGTTCGTGAAAACTTAAGACTTACGCTAATTTGTATTCAACTTATGCATTTTTGTGAGATTGCTTATGTAAGTTCGTAAAAACTTACATAATTTTGTGATAGAGTTGCATATGGTGTACATTACACACTGGAGAATTTTTTTATGCTATTCTTCTCACTTTCACATTCAATGATTAATGTCATGCATTTCAATCAAATGGAACCTAAATCTAAGATCAAATAGAATTTAAAAGTCATTTTTTTCAAATTGGGACATTACTTGGATTGTTTGTAATAAAAATTCAATTTTATTCAGAGCACCTACAAATCCAATCAGGCTGTGTTTGGTTCATGAATTGAGGGAGGAATTTAAAAAAGGAAAAGGAAAAAGTGTGAGAAACTAAGTAAAATGTAGATATATTTTATTCATATTTCACATATCTTTTTCTTTTCCCTTTCTAAATTCCTTCTCAAATTGTTGAACCAAACACAGCTTAAGAGAAAATAGAAGTAGAGATATTCCAAAATTTTCCTTGTTTTGGTGATTTCAAATCTTTCCATTAGAGCTGAAAAAGAGAGGAATCGAGTTGAATAGTAAGCTGTTTAAGTTTGATTTGATAATTTAACGAGTCGAACACAAGTCAAATTCAAGTAACATAGTTCGTTTAGCAACCTACTTTCCACCTATTTAATTCCTAATTATAAAAATTTTAATAAATAAAATTATTTTGTTCAATTTGGATATGGACAGTCCATATATCATGACCAGCTCAGCTAGCAAGGTTCAGGCCCGACGGGCCTCACACCAAATCCTAGGCTAGGCCCAACTCAAAAACTGATTTTAATGAGTAGCGCTGGGCTTCAATACCTCATCATAAGCCCTAACAGAAGAGGTCTAGACTGCTCGTCATAGATTATGTTCTTACCAATGACTTTCCTAACAAGCCTTCATCTCTACTCTTCAATTGGCTAAATTTATTCTATTATATGTCTCTGCTTAAACCCAAAAAACAACTTGTGGTTTTTATCTTTGAAAACATTAGCCAGACAGTTTGTAATTTCTTATTTTCGTTAATTACAACTTTTTATATATTGTGAGTCAGATTTAGAATTTTTGTTTGTGCTAGACCACTGTGGTTCTTCAATAAAAGCTTATTGTGGGTAATTATTTACTTTGACCTTATTATACTGCATTTATCATAGTTCACTTTTACCCACCTCTGTCAAATTTTATTTTATTAGAGTTCACTAGATTCATATGCAGTAAACTTTTGAATCATACAGTGATTTCTCTAATTAATCAATGTCCTATCAAATCATATAGTGACTTATCGAATTGATCAATGACTTGTTTAATCATGTAGTAACTTGTCCAATCCCGTAGTAATTTGTCAGACCTTTGAATCATACAATGACTTGTCCATAAGATATGTCACATGGGCTCGTAGACCAAGAACAAAAAAGCCAAAATGATCATCTTCTTCCATTATGAAAGTTTGGAGAGCCATTATTTTCAACAATAACCATAGCATTGAAAATAAGAAACAGAAAAGCAAAGAGTGAGGAAACTAGAAACACAAGTGACATTAACAAAAACTTGGGTAGTTTCTGCAAAAATAGAAGGGTCATGTATGTCATGAACTAATGTAAATATATGTAGAAGGTTTTTCTTGACATGCCCTTAACAATGGCTATAAAGAATTAATGTAAATATATGTAGAAGATTTTTCTTGACATGCCCTTAACAATGGCTATAAAGAATTTGTATAACTTGATTCACCGATATGCACACACGGGCTGCATTATAATAAAATCTAAGTAGCTGCAAGAAAGAAAAGAGAGAAGGTTTTGGATCTGTTTGGTCATAATATGGTTTATCATTGTATCATTTCGATCTTTACTATAAAAATGAATAATTGTATCAATTCAGAAATGGCTGTGGTTAGCATTGAATAAAATTGAAAATTAAGTACCAATTTAATTATTGAATCAAATAAATTATTTGATATGTAAAAGATTATATTTGAGATTAATTATTTTCAAATTGTAACTTTTAATTTTTATATTATATATGGTGGTGGTGGTGGTGGTGGTGGTGGTGGTTATATAGCCAATGATAATGGTGGTAGAAGTGGAGGGATAGTGGGTGTGATGATAGTAGAGTGGTAATGTAGTGGAAGTAAAAAGGATATGGTGGTGGTGTAATGATGGTAATAATTTTGATGATGGAATGATGATAATGATAATCATTGTGAAGGTGAAAGATTGTAATAGTTGTCGTAATGGCCGTAGGTAGTAATGACAATGATGACTATCGTCACTACAAGAATTTGTACTTTTAGCGATTACTTTTTACGACCAATATAAAAGTTGATAGTTAAAAGTTACCTTTTAATGACCAAATATTAATTAGTCGTGAATGATCATTATTTTTGACGACCATATATGAGTTGGTCGCATAAGGTCATATTTTGGCGACCAAAATATGAGTTGGTCGCAGAAAGTGGTATGGTTTTGGCGACCAACTACAAATTTGGTCACAGAAGGTCACATTTTGGAGACCAAAAAATAAGTTGGTCGAGGAAGATCAAAAATAAGTTGGTTGTGGAATTGGCGACCAAAAATTTGGTAGCCAAAAACTTATTTTTAGCGACAAAAAATATTTTAGTCACCGTATATTGAGTTTGGACTACTAAAACTATTTAGTCGCTGAATGGAAAATAAAAAATTATTTCTTATCTTTGGCGACCAAAATTTTGGTCACCAAAAACTTATTTTTAGCGACTAAAAATATTTTAGTCGCCGTATATTGAGTTTCGGTTACTAAAACTATTTAGTTGCCGAATGGAAAATAAATTTTTTTTTTTTTATCTTTGGAAACTAAAATTTTGGTCGCCAAAAACTTATTTTCAACGATCAAAAAAAAATTAGTCGTCGTATATTTATTTTTTCCTACCAAAACAAAGTTAGTCGCCAAATTAATATTTTTTACCGACTAATATTTTAGTCACCGTTAATTAAGCTTTGGCTATAACAAAATTTTAGTCATCAATTATTAACATTTGCCGACTGAAAACTACTTTTATCACCAAAAGTGTGAAAATTTTAGAGGAAAGCCATTTAAATTGTCCCCGCCTGTTCTCTGTTTAAACAAATCAGATTGTTCTTTCTCGCACAGATTCTCCTTCGCCACCAAACCTCGCCTCGCCTCGCCTCGCCTCAGCATCAACGTTGCCGTCCGCCGTTCTCGCCCTCCACTATCATCACCGTAAGTTGCACTCTAGTCCCTTTTCTTATACGCAAGCCCTAGCCCCTTTTCTTATGTGTTGTTCCTTCAATGTTGTCTCTCTTGATATCATTCTCTCTGTTTCAAGCTCTCTCCGTTGCCATGGTGATCTGAAGAACAGGAGCGGTACGAATCTCTCTCTCTCACACACAATCTCTCTCTTTCAATCTACCTATAAATACTTATTTAGCTTTCTCACTTTTCTTTTGCAATCTGTCTCTTTGTCTCTCTCTCTTGCGATCTGTCTATCTCTCTCTCTCTCTCTCTCTCTCTCTCTCTCTGGTCTCTGGAATCGCCTTTCTCTGTCTCTCTCTTGAATCGGCTCTCTCTCTCTTCTCACCCAGTTCAGATTGTCCCTCTTCGATATGTCGAAGGCTCTCGAGTTCGAAGAAGAATCGATTTTGAAGACTATTAAGTTTCGATATGCGCTTCTCTCTATTTGATGTAGGGCTCTTAGATCTGGATGAGTTTAATTTGGATTTGACCGATTGGGATCTGGATCTAGGGTTCTTCTACCAGGTATGGGGTTCTAATTTGGATTTCAAGTTTGTTCAAATCACTAGCACTATTGTTTATGGTTTCAATTTAATTGATTTAGGATCTTAGATCCTAACTGATTTTCATTTGGATCTGAAATATGTGTATGAGAGAGAAAAGATGAGAGATGTTAGAAAGTTGATGTTGATGAACCAACACAATTATAGTTGGAAAGTAGCAGTAAAGTGCTCAAGATTTGAATTTATAATATAAATTTAAATTTGATATGATGTAAGTCATATTAAGAAAGTATTTAATTCACAAATTTTCAAATTTTGAACACTCTTTTATGTATTTTCTTCTAAGTATATAACATTGTTGTGCTAGAAAGTAATCCAATTCCACGCAAGTAGAATGCTAAAACTCCAAGATAAGAGATAGTCAAGCGATGTTTGAGTTTTGAGGATGGCTTTGCTCACATCCTATAGGGGTTTAGTAAACATATCAGCCAACTAATCCATACTAGGAATGTATTGCAAACTAATTTGTTTAGCAAGGACTTTGTCATGAATAAAGTGCCAATCCACTTCGATGTGTTTAGAGCGAGAGTGAAAAACAGGATTTGAAGCAAGAGCAATGGCAGAAACATTATCACACCAGAGAAGAGGAATAGTCGGAGGTGAAATGCCAAGATCATGAAGAAGCATAAGAAGCCAAGAAATCTCAGTAGTGGTGTGAGCAAGGGCTCTATATTCAGCTTCAGTAGAACTACGAGAAACTGTAGCTTGCTTCTTAGCAGACCATGAAATAAGATTGGAACCCAAGAATATACAATAACCAGAAGTAGACTTTCGGTCAAGAACATCCCCTGCCCAATTAGAGTCGGAAAAAGCATGAAGATCAAAAGTGCTGGGAGATAACTGAAGACCATGATAAAGAGTACCCTTGACAAAGCGAAGTAACTGCTTAACAGCAGAGAAATGGCCAATGGTGATGGCATGCATGTGCTGACAACATTGATTGACAGCAAGGGATATATCCGGGCGAGTAATGGTAAGATATTGCAAAGCACCCACTAAACTGCGATATAGAGTAGGATGAGGACAAGGATCATTAGAATGAGGAACCGAAAAAGGTTTGACAGCAATAGGAGAAGAACAAGGTTTGCAATTAGACAAACCAGCCTTAGTCAGAATATCCTGAGCATATTTATGTTGAGACAAAAAATAGCCTGAATCAGGAGTGCCCTTTATAGAGATCCCAAGGAAATAGGAGATATCTCCTAATTCTTTCGTGGAAAAAACCTGGTGCATCTTGGTAATCAAATGCTGAAGATGAGTAGAATTATTTCCTGTGAGCAAGATATCATCGACATAGACCAAAAGAATAGTAATTGTGGTGGCTGTCCGTTGAATGAACAAGGAGGAGTCACATTTACTATTAACAAAACCTTGAGATAAGAGGAAGGTTGAGAAAGTGAAATACCAGGCACGGGAGGCCTGTTTTAAGCCATATAACGTCTTGTGAAGCTTACACACTTGAGTAGGAGATGAAGATATAAAGCCTGGGGGCTGGAGCATAAAGACCTCCTCTTCAAGCAAACCATGAAGGAAAGCATTTGAAATATCCAACTATTTCAAGGGCCATTTATGGTGAAGAGCAAGACACAAAAGAATTCGAATAGTGGGTTATTTGGCGACGGGACTGAATGTTTCTTGAAAATCAATCCCATGTTGTTGAAAATAACCCTTGGCTACCAATCGGGCTTTGTGTCTGGCAATACTACCTTATGAGTTTCTTTTAATTTTAAACACCCATTTGCATCCGATAGCCTGTTTGTGAGGAGGAAGAGAGACAAGGGTCCAAGTGTGTTGAGCATGTAAGGCAGTAATCTCCTCTTGCATAGCTTAAAGCCAAATAGGAGACAAAAGAGCTTCACGATAAGAAGGAGGCTCAGAGTCAGCAAACAACTGAGGAAAGAAAGACTGAGCAACTGAAAAACAAGTTTTAGAGTGAGTGAGCATAGGATGAGTGTTACTAGGAGGAAGAGGAGGTAACACAGGAAGTTGGATAGAAATAGCCTGAATAGGAACAGGAGAAGAGATAGGAAGAGCAGAAGGAGGCAGCAAAGGAACAGAACTTGATGAAATCATAGGACCAGAACTGGGAACTGTAGGAACAGAACTGGGAAGAGCAGAACTGGGGGCAGAGCAGAACTGGGGGCAGAGCAACTAAGCTGGACTGCTGGACAGAACTGGGAACAGCAGAACTGGTGTAACAACCCTCACCACTGTTCACCGATAAACTACCGATTACTGCTAAACTGAGACTGATTATGAAAAGTAATTGAACTGATTGAAATACTAAACTGACTGACTGAAATCTGAAATTGATTGATTGACTGTATCTGTTTAAATGCATTATCTATCTATTTGACTGTTTGATTATCTGTTTATATTTTTAGGTTTAAACTGCAAATTGAAGGCATTATCGGCGGCCGAACCAGAAATTGATTAGTGTTTCATGATCAGTAGAATTTATGTGATTTTATGGCATATTTATCTGAAATGTGTTTTGGTATGATTAAATTAGTTGAAGTAAAGCTAATTAAAGAGTTAGGCTTATCTATAACTTTGCCATTGTGAGTGGGCCACTTCATGAACTATATTTGAGCCTTATTAAACACTTAGGCAAACATTTCATCAGCTCATCTCCCTTGCCTTAGCCGACCAAGAGGGAGAGAGGAGAGGAATTGAATTGTCCTTGTTGATTTGTTTAGAAACTTGAAGGAATTGAAGGTTGATTTCAAAATTGTGCTTCCATTCTTGAACTACAAGACCTAAGGTAGTGTAACTACCCTCTTATTTGTGAATTCAATTAATTCTTGCATGGTTTTAGAGCAAGTTGAAGTCTAGAGCCAAGTTATGGCTCTTAATTGTTGAATTATAGCTTAACTCATGCATGCATGTTTGTATTGCTGCATTTTAAGTTGTTTTCATGGCAAAATGTTACATGCATGTTCATATTATGTTTAAATCCATGATTTCATCTTGTTTTGAAAAGAATTGGCTCTTTAGAGCAAGTGTTTAAAGCTTGAAAATGATTTAAGTTCATGCATGTTGCATGTTCATCTTGTTCATGAAAATTGGTTTGAAATTGGATTTATTTGAACTACCTTTGGGCTTTGATTTTTACAATTGAGTTTTGAATCATGTTAAGCTATGAGTTTTGAGGAGTTTTCTGGAAAATTAGCCAAGGGGATTGGTTTTGATACATTTGAACTCTATTTTGAGCTTGAGGTTCGAATTTGGGAATTCCAGATTTTGAACTCACGCTCGAGCGAGGTGACTGGCGCTCGAGCGTGGAAATCGTGCTCCCAGCATTTTGTTCTGTTTTTGAGTCAGCTCGAGCGAGGTAATTTACGCTCGAGCGGGACCTTGTGTTTACGCTCGAGCGGGTGTCGAGCACCCAATCGAGCGTGAATTTCACATATCCAGCACTTTTGACTGTTTTGAAGTATGCTCGAGCGAGTTAGTCTGCACTCGAGCAGAAACCTTTGTCTGCATGTGCGCTCGAGCGGATTAACCTACGCTCGAGCGGGACCCCTGTTTTCTGAAAATACTTTTAAAGCGCATCTTTGCATCCTCATTTCATCCTAGGCATTCTTAGGCCTAGTTTAAGGCATCTTAATGAGGATATAGATGTAGAACCACACCGAGTCAAGATAGGGATTAAGTTATTATCTTTCCCAACTGTGTAGCTTAGTGTGTGTTCAATCTGTAAACTGTGTAGGGTTGGTGTAGACATCCCTGAACGCCCCGGGAGGGTGAGTCCCGTTCTGTTTGTATGTGGGCTCACTACAGTTCAGACTCTCAAATTGTCACGGTTCTTAATCTGAACCAAAGAGTCCAAATTCGGCAAATCGTTTTGAGAAACAGATTTTTGAAACGAAGTGCCAAACATGGACTACTTTGCCAGATATAGAGTCGCCACCTAAATATTTTTTATGGGGGAATTTAGGAAACCCTGACTCGGTGCCAAAGGCCACGTGTCCGTCATCACCAAAGTTGCCTTGGCTCGGGAGCTTGGGTACGATGGGGGAAGGTCAGCTATGAGCACCCCCTTTCGCCCGGTCCGAAGACCAGCCTCTACTAACCGTGATATCCGTTTTTGAGAACTTTACGTGTTCTTAAACCAATTATTAGCCTAGAATTACTATGTTATGCGCACAACAAACAAGTATAGACTAGATTGCCTAATTTGGAAATAAATATTGCATATCCGTTTGTTTGGAAAACGCTTTGGAATTTGCTACTCACAAGTAGGCTAAAATACGGATTTCAACGAG